CCTTGGCCTTGTTGAACTCCATGAGGTTGCCCAGACCCTCCTCTCCAGCCTCTCCAACACCTCCAGTTTTTGGAGAACACCTGCTTTGCCTTTCCCAACAGCACCCCAGGGTTGGGAGAATGACCCTAAACCCCCCAAAAACCAGCCAGGGACCCCTGCTGAGCTCAGACCCCATAGGGGCCGTTTATTGGAAGCGTCAATGGGAATCGCCGCGTCCCCCAGCGCTCGGCTCGGTCCCACCTGCCCACACCTCTCACCTGGACCCCACCGCAGCCGGACGCGATGCGCTTCCAGCTGGGAAAAAACAACCTAGAAACATCTTTTTTTCTTCTTCCTCCCTAAACTCCTCTTTGGAAATCTCCCTTCTCCCAAATTTCTCCACCAACATCGTTGTTCCTCCTCTCATCTCGCCGGTTCCTCTCAGGGCATCCTCGTCAGGTTGGGGACATTGGGCATCGCTGCTCCGTCGCTTCTTCAGCAATTAATATAATTTACTCTTGTGTCTCGTCAACGCTGACGAGAGGGGCTGGCAGGAAGGGTCAGGATTGGGATTGTTGTGCCAGCACCACCACCCGCTGCAGCTGCTCGTAGGAGATGAACATCACCACGTTCCAGGAGCCCAGGCGCAGGAAGGATGGGATGAACCTGAGGTGGGAAGAGCAACCGGGGTTGTTGAGCCTGGAGAAAAGGAGGCTGAGGGGAGACCTTGTGGCTCTGGGCAAGTCCCTTGGAGGAGGGTGGAGAGAGGTGGGGGTGGGTCTGTCCAACCAAGGCCCAAGGGACAGGACAAGAGGAAATGGGCTCCAGTTGTGGCCAGGGCAGTTGAGATGGGATGTGAGGAAGAATTTCTTTGCTGCAAGGGTTCTGAGGCATTGGAAGGGGTTGCCCAGGGCAGTGGTGGAGTCCCCATCCCTGGAGGGATTGAAGAGTCGTGTAGACACAGTGCTGAGGGACATGGGTTAGTCATAGGGGACTGGTCAGTGTTGGGTTCATGGTTGGACTCGATGATCTCAAAGGGCTTTTCCCATCGAGGTGATTCTGTGTGGTTTTGGGGTGGTGCTCAGTGGGGACACGTCCCCAAACTCACCCCTTGTAGAGGCCGGCGAGTCCATCCTGCATGAGCAGGGCCAGGAGGCAGCTCAGCGCGTTGCGGTACTGCCCGGGGCCGGCGTTCATGTACCGCGTCTTCACCACGTCCACCGGCGAGGCCACCACGGTGGCACAGAAACCGGCCCCGAAAGCGGCCACGAAGTGACAGGGGATGTTGTCTGCGGGGCAGAGCCGGGGGTTGAGGGTCACAGGGACGGGGACGGTGACCAGCCACGTCCCCTCTGCACCCTCCTCACCTGTCATCAGCTGCGCCCGCAGCAGCGCGTCCTTGATGAGGTCGTAGGTGACGAGCTCCCCGCAGTTGATGATGGCGTTGCGGGCGATGTTGGGCAGCGTCCCTGTGCGGGAGGGTGGTGGCATCGGGGCCAGTGGTCACATTCCCTCCTGGAGCATCCTGCATGGGTGCCCCAGCTCTGCTGTCCCCGTCCCTGTTCCCATTCCCGTGCTTGTCCCCATCCCATCCCTGTCCCCGTCCCTGTTCCCATTCCCATGCTTGTCCCCATCCCATCCCTGTCCCCATCCCTTTCCCATCCCAGTCCCCATTCCTGTTGCCATCCCTGTCCCCACCTGCATTCCCCTGTCCCATTCCCATCCCAATCCCTGTTCTCATTTCCATTCCACCCCTCTCCTTTCTGCTTCCTGTCCCATCCCGGTCCCCATCCCTTTCCCATCCCAATCCCCATTCCTGTTGCCATCCCTGTCCCCACCTGCATTCCCCTGTCCCATTCCCATCCCAATCCCTGTTCTCATTTCCATTCCCATCCCTGTCCCCATCCTTGTCCCTGTCCCTGTTCCCATCTCTATCCCCACCCTCTCCCATCTGCATCCCGTCCCATCCCTGTCCCCATCCCTGTCCCATTCCATCCCCTTCCCATCCTGTCCCATCCCTGTCCCAATGCCATCCCATCCCCTGCCCATCCCAATCCCCATCCTTGTTCCCATTCCTGTGCTCATCCCTATCCCCATTCCTGTCTGCATTCCAGCCTCTGATCCCATCTCCATTCCCATTTCCATCCCTGTCCCCATCCCATTACCATCCCTGTCCCCATCCCTGTCCCTGTCCCCATCCCTGTCCCTGTTCCCATTTCTATCCCCATCCTATCCCATCTGCATCCCCTTTCCCATCCCATCCCTGGCCGCATCCCAACCTTGTCCATGTTTCCATCCCATCCCAATCCCCATCCTTGTTCCCATTCCTGTTCCCATCCCTGTCTCTACCTGCATTCCCCCATCCCATTCCCATCCCAGTCCCCTTTCTCATTCTCATTTCCATCCGTGTCCTTGTCCCCAGCCTGGTGCCCCATCCCATCACCATCCATGTCCCCATCCTTGTCCCTGTCCCTGTTCCCATCTCTATCCCCATCCTATCCCATCTGCATCCCCTTTCCCATCCCATCCCTGGCCGCATCCCAACCTTGTCCATGTTTCCATCCCATCCCAATCCCCATCCTTGTTCCCATTCCTGTTCACATCCCTGTCTCTACCTGCATTCCCCCATCCCATTCCCATCCCAGTCCCCTTTCTCATTCTCATTTCCATCCGTGTCCTTGTCCCCAGCCTGGTGCCCCATCCCATCACCATCCATGTCCCCATCCTTGTCCATCCCTGTCCCCACCTGCATTCCCCCATCCTATTCCCATTCCAATCCCTTTACCCCTACCCCATCCCATCACCATCCCTGTCCCTGTTCCCATCCCTATCCCCCCCCTCCCCTCTGCATCCCCTATTCCATCCCTGTCCCATCCTGTCCCTGTCCCCATCTCATCCTGTCCCTGTCCCCATCCCATCTCTGACCCCATCCCAGTTCCCATCCCAGTTCCCATTCCTACGCTCATCCCTATCCCTACCTTCATTCTACCATCCAATTCCCATTCCATCCCTGTCCCCATCCCAGTACCCCATCCCTGTCCCCATCCTTGTCCCTGTCCCCATCCCTGTCCTCATCCCCATCCCTGTCTTCATCCCCATCCCTGTCCCCATGCCTATCCCCCCCTCCCATCTACATCCCCTGTCCCATCCCTG